CACAACTCGAATGTCCCCACACATTCTCCCTATTCCCAGCCCAGCTCCACCTTTGATGCCATGTCGCCCGCACCGGTCATCCCTTCCAACACAGACTACCCGGGACCGCACAGCTTCGAGGTCACCTTTCAGCAATCCAGCACTGCAAAATCGGCCACATGGACGGTAAGTCACCTCTCGTGTGTACCTGTTTTTCTCTGAATCTTTATGTATTGATATGTATAGTGTTGGGGGGGGGGGCAGCCTTTCTCAAACTTCTCAACACAGAGGAACTCTAAAAATAACATTCCGGTCTCAGGGAACCCCTGAAAATGACCATATCTACAATTCATGACACATCAACGTGATGGTCAGTGGGAAGAATGCTCCTTACCTTTGTGGACATTGGGAGGAATTTCCCCTTACAGATAGCTACAAATATCAATGGTATCAGTAGGAACTTATCTGAGAGGCAGAAATTGCTCTAGGAACCTCTGGAGGAACCCTGGCTGAGGAACCCTGATCTACATTTTCCATATATTACCTGTATATAATATGGGCTACAGGCTGGCAGCTAATCTTTATCAGGATGAATCGGTGAATATTGGATTGAGTACAGCATTACCAGAGAGTTTTAATTAATATATTGAATTTGAGGTGGTAATGCCTACTCTGCGAGCCGTTGGGTGGGAAACAGAAGGGACTTAGGTGTCCTTACAGGAAGGAGAGTGGTACGGTAGTGGTTAGTTGGCAAAAGAGCGGGTCCTAGCAACCTTTGGAGGAACCCTGGCTGAGGAACCCTGATCTACACTTTACATATATTGCCTGTATATAATATGGGTTACAGGCTGGCAGCTAATCTTTATCAGGATGAATCAGTGAATATTGGATTGAGTACAGCATTACCAGAGAGTTTTAATTAATATATTGAATTTTAGGTGGTAATGCCTACTCTGCGAGCCGTTGGGTGGGAAACAGAAGGGACTTAGGTGCCCTTATAGAAAGGAAAGTGCTATGATGGTGGTTAGTTGGCAAAAGAACAGGTCCTAGCAACCTTTGGAGGAACCTAAGGGTTCTATGGTACCCTGGTTGAGAAACTGGGTCTAGATACTGGAAATGGGCCCGTAGTATTAAATTTGTGTCCTTTCCTACAAAGGGATGTGGGGGAGAGCTCTAGGTTTTCTCCAAAGTTCTTCTGAGCCTTTGTAAACAAGACGTGATGGGCTGAGCCAACTGTACAAATCCTTGAAGTTGGGAAACCACAGCATCCAATGTCATCAGAGTTTTTAAGCTGGCCATGCATCCGTAGATTTTATCTATTTTAGTTCTTATTTATTAGAATTTCATTCTTTGCAAGAAAAATTTCCATCCTTCAATTTTCTAATAGGTAATATGGGTCAAAACCATGATCACTTTCGAATGTATTGATAAAAAAAATTGAACGAATGTTCTGAAAAGGTAAACTTTTGAACAAAATTCTAGTGGTGTATGGCCAGCTTTAGGGTCAGTTTGTGGGTGGACGAAAAGTCATCCGTGTCGCAATGTATGGACGTGCAAGGTCAAAGACTAGCAACCAAGTTTGTAACATTTTCTGTGGCAATACATCAGATTCAAGCATCGCCAAACCATTTAGTGTAGGGTAGATGAGAGGTGGAAGCTTCGGGGCAACTTGTGACCTTGGCTGGACACTTCCTACAAAACAAAGGTAGTAGGGACATGGAAGCTTTGGGTAACTTGCAAAAGAGGGGAACTCTCCTGCAGATAGAGGGACACTTATCAACTATACAGCTCTTGAATATTTGAACAAATTTCTACTGGTGTATGGCCAACTTTAGTGTCAGTTTGTGGGTGGACAACAAGGAATCTATAAGGCAGTGTATGGATGTGCACGGTCAATAACAAGCAGCCAGGTTCATAACATTTATTTTAGCAACACACCAGATTCGAGCACCGCCGGATCATTTGTTGTAGGGTAGATGAGAAGTGGAAGCTTCGGGGCAACTGGTGACCTTGGCTGGACAATTCCTGCAAAAGAAAAGTAGTAGGGACATGGAAGCTTTGGGTAACTTGCAAAATAGGGGAACTCTCCTACAGATAGAGGGACACTTATACAGCTCTTGAAATATTTGAACAAATTTCTACTGGTGTATGGCCAACTTTAGGGTCAGTTTGTGGGTGGACATCAAGGAATCTATAAGGCAGTGTATGGATGTGCAAGGTCAATGACAAGCAGCCAGGTTCATAACATGTTTTTTTTAGTAACATATCAGATTCAATCATCGCCAGGTCATTTGGTGTAGGGTAGATGAGAAGTCGAAGCATCGGGGCAACTAATGACCTTGGCTGGACACTTCCTGCAAAACAAAGGTAGTAGGGACATGGAAGCTTTGGGTAACTTGCAAAATATGGGAACTCTCCTACAGATAGAGGGACACTCATCAACTATGCAGCTCTTGAAATATTTGAACAAATTTCTACTGGTGTATGGCCAACTTAAGGTCAGTTTGTGGGTGGACAACAAGGAATCTATAAGGCAGTGTATTGATGTGCAAGGTCAATGACAAGCAGCCAGGTTCATAACATTTGTTTTAGCAATACATCAGATTCGAGCATCGCCAGATCATTTGGTGTAGGGTAGATGAGAAGTAGAAGCTTCGGGGCAACTGGTGACCTTGGCTGGACACTTCCTGCAAAACAAAGGTAGTAGGGACATGGAAGCTTTGGGTAACTTGCAAAAGAGGGGAACTCTCCTACAGATAGAGGGACACTTATCAACTATACAGCTCTTGAAATATTTGAACAAATTTCTACTGGTGTATGGTCAACTTTAGGGTCAGTTTGTGGGTGGACATCAAGGAATCTATAAGGCAGTGTATGGATGTGCAAGGTCAATGACAAGCAGCCAGGTTCATAACATTTATTTTAGCAACACACCAGATTTGAGCACCGCCAGATCATTTGGTGTAGGGCAGATGAGAAGTGGAAGCTTCGGGGCAACTGGTGACCTTGGCTGGACACTTCCTGCAGAAGAAAGGTAGTAGAGACATAGAGGGTTTGGGGTACCTGGCATAGAGGGACTGTCCTGCAGGGAGAGGACACATGTCAACTGATGACTGTGGCTGGACACTTCCCACAGAAGAAAGGTAGTAGGGACAAGGAGGATTTGGATACCTGGCAAAATCGGGGGGCTGCAGGAGGTCAACAGATATCAACTATAAAGTTCTTGAAATGGGGCAATACAGGGAGTAAATATAAACTAGGAGCAGCTAATCTAGGAAAAGGAAATGAGGAAAATGTATTTTTGCTTATGGCAGCTCATCAGGATCCTTATTTTATTTTCATTTTGGGACCTTCAAAATAACAAATAAAAGCTAATTCAATGCTTCAGGAAAATTGAACATTTTCCAATAGAAATCTTTGATTGTATATTTATCTCTACTGTGTTTCAGCATTTTGGGTTCTTACGAAGTTGAAATCATTTAGGTCGGTTACATTTTTACCTGGTTTCTGTGTTTTTTAATGGCGTTTCATGTAGTGACCTTTAGATTCTCTTATCACTGTCTATAGGTCAGAAAATGCAGTTGGCTTGTTAAATGAATGCTGAAGTAAGAATAGCTTCAGGACTGGCCACTTAGAGATCCTTTCCATTCATGCTGAGCAGACTGATAGAATGGTGTTGAGAGAAGGTAAATCACAGCCACCGTGCAGTTGTACAAAAAACATGATATAATAGTTCCTTATCAAACACTAAATTAAAGTGTTACTAAACCCACAACAGTAAAATCAGTCTGTAAAGCATGCTTGTTATACCCACTGTGGAAGCTAAGGGGTTAATCCTCCGCATCGTGTAAAAGAGCTGTTTGATCCTGTCTTCTCTGATCCCTTCTTCAAGTGCCCCCCTCTTATCTTCTCATAAGACATATAGTGTGGAGACACTCTGCCCATGCTCAGTTTGGTGTGTGTTGCTATAGTTTTTGTTTTTGTTTTGGGGGGGGGAATGCATGTGATCAGCACAGAGCCAATCAGCACTGTCCAGACAGAGGTCAGTGGTCCTGCATCCTCCTAGAGCAGAATGAAAACTCCTCCTACAAGCTTTAACATGTGCTCGGCTGGACACTGATAGAAGTCACAAGACTGCTATATACTGCTGATGAGAAAAGGTATTTAGCAGTTTATTATATTTACTAAAATAATTGCTTTTCCATGTTCTGTGTACTGTGGGAGACCAGATATAGTAAATGCAGGGTCCGGGGGAGAGCTGATATAGTGAATTCGGGGAGAGGGGAGACAGGATATAGTGAATGCGGGGTCCGGGGAGAGCGGATATAGTGAATGCAGGGTCTGGGGGAGAGCGGATATAGTGAATGCAGGGTCCGGGAAGACCGGATATAGTGAATGAGGGTCCAGGGAGACCAGATATAGTGAATGTGGGGTCCGGGAGAGCGGATATAGTGAATGCAGGGTCCGGGGAGACCAGATATAGTGAATGCAGGGTCCGGGAGAGCGAATATAGTGAATGCAGGGTCCGGGGGAGACTGGATATAGTGAATGCAGGGTCCGGGGAGAGCGGATATAGTGAATGCGGGGTCCGGGGAGACCAGATATAGTGAATGCAAGGTCCGGGAGAGTGAATATAGTGAATGCAGGGTCCGGGGAGAGCAGATACAGTGAATGCAGGGTCCGGGGGGAGAGCAGATATAGTGAATGCAGGGTCCGGGAGAGTGAATATAGTGAATGCAGGGTCCGGGGAGAGCGGATATAGTGAATGCAGGGTCCGGAGAGAGCGGATATAGTGAATGCAGGGTCCGGGGAGAGCGGATATAGTGAATGCGGGGTCCGGGGAGAGTGGATATAGTGAATGCAGGGTCCGGGGAGAGCGGATATAGTGAATGCAGGGTCCGTGGAGACCAGATATAGTGAATGCAGGGTCCGGGAGAGTGAATATAGTGAATGCAGGGTCCATGGGAGACCGGATATAGTGAATGCAGGGTCCGGAGAGAGCGGATATAGTGAATGCATAGTCCGGGGGAGAGTAGATATAGTGAATGCGGGGTCTGGGGAGAGTGGATATAGTGAATGCAGGGTCCGGGGAGAGCGGATATAGTGAATGCAGGGTCCGGGGAGAGCGGATATAGTGAATGCAGGGTCCGGGGAGAGCGGATATAGTGAATGCAGGGTCCGGGGAGAGTGGATATAGTGAATGCAGGGTCCGGGGAGAGCAGATATAGTGAATGCAGGGTCCGGGGAGAGCGGATATAGTGAATGCAGGGTCCGGGGAGAGCGGATATAGTGAATGCGGGGTCCGGGGAGAGCGGATATAGTGAATGCAGGGTCTGGGGAGAGCGGATATAGTGAATGCAGGGTCTGGGGAGAGCGGATATAGTGAATGCAGGGTCCGGAGAGAGCGGATATAGTGAATGCATAGTCCGGGGGAGAGAGTAGATATAGTGAATGCGGGGTCTGGGGAGAGTGGATATAGTGAATGCAGGGTCCGGGGAGAGCGGATATAGTGAATGCAGGGTCCGGGGAGAGCGGATATAGTGAATGCAGGGTCCGGGGAGAGCGGATATAGTGAATGCAGGGTCCGGGGAGAGTGGATATAGTGAATGCGGGGTCCGGGGGGAGCGGATATAGTGGATGCGGGGTCCAGGGGAGAGCGGATATAGTGAATGCAGGGTCCGGGGAGAGTGGATATAGTGAATGCGGGGTCCGGGGAGAGCGGATATAGTGAATGCAGGGTCTGGGGAGAGCGGATATAGTGAATGCAGGGTCTGGGGGAGAGCGGATATAGTGAATGCGGGGTCCGGGGAGACCGGATATAGTGAATGCGGGGTCCGGGGGAGAGGATATAGTGGATGCGGGGGTCCAGGGAGAGCGGATATAGTGGATGCAGGGTCCGGGGAGAGTGAATATAGTGAATGCAGGGTCCGGGGAGAGCAGATACAGTGAATGCAGGGTCCGGGGAGAGCAGATATAGTGAATGCAGGGTCCGGGAGAGTGAATATAGTGAATGCAGGGTCCGGGGAGAGCGGAAATAGTGAATGCAGGGTCCGGAGAGAGCGGAAATAGTGAATGCAGGGTCCGGAGAGAGCGGATATAGTGAATGCATAGTCCGGGGGAGAGTAGATATAGTGAATGCGGGGTCTGGGGAGAGTGGATATAGTGAATGCAGGGTCCGGGGAGAGCGGATATAATAGTGAATGCAGGGTCCGGGGAGAGCGGATATAGTGAATGCAGGGTCCGGGGAGACCAGATATAGTGAATGCAGGGTCCGGGAGAGTGAATATAGTGAATGCAGGGTCCATGGGAGACCGGATATAGTGAATGCAGGGTCCGGAGAGAGCGGATATAGTGAATGCGGGGTCCGGGGAGAGCGGATATAGTGAATGCAGGGGTCCGGGGAGAGAGGATATAGTGAATGCGGGGTCCGGGGAGAGCGGATATAGTGAATGCGGGGTCCGGGGAGAGCGAATATAGTGAATGCGGGGTCCGGGGAGAGCGGATATAGTGAATGCAGGGTCCGGGGAGAGCGGATATAGTGAATGCAGGGTCCGGGGAGAGCGGATATAGTGAATGCAGGGTCCGGGGAGAGCGGATATAGTGAATGCAGGGTCCGGGGAGAGCGGATATAGTGAATGCGGGGTCCGGGGAGAGCGGATATAGTAAATGCAGGGTCTGGGGAGAGCGGATATAGTGAATGCAGGGTCTGGGGAGAGCGGATATAGTGAATGCGGGGTCCGGGGGAGACCGGATATAGTGAATGTGGGGTCCGGGGGGAGCGGATATAGTGGATGCGGGGTCCGGGGAGAGTGGATATAGTGAATGCGGGGTCCGGGGAGAGCGGATATAGTGGATGCAGGGTCCGGGGAGAGTGGATATAGTAGATGCAGGGTCCGGGGAGAGCGGATATAGTGGATGCAGGGTCCAGGGACACCAGATATAGTGAATGCAGGATCCGAGGTTTAGTAACACTTACACAAGAGGCAAGCTTCTTTTAGGCATTACATTTTACAAGTCTGCATGAATAAATATATAACAACAGTAGTCATACCTTTTAGCAATAAACAACAGTCCTTGGGCTCCATTCGAGTGATTTTAGGCTGAATCTGCTGCAGGCAGGAGGAAGCCTTTCCCCATTTCCTGCAGTGACCAGACTGCACCATTGTGCCTTTCTGGCATGTTACAAGGTGAAAGGCTGCCTCAGGGGGCTAATCTGTGTCAGACATTTATGAACACAGCCAAGAACTACACAGGCATTAGAAATAATTCATCTGTGAGCCGACATCTTTGTCTAGGAAGTAAGCCAGCTTTTCTCAACCTTTTTACCCCAGAGAAAGCCTTAAATGATATGTCTTTGGCCTGTGTAGTTCTTGGCAGCCTTTCACATGGTAACATGCCACAAAAGCACAATGGTACAGTCTGGTCACCGGAGAAGAGACTGAGAAAAGGCTTCCTCCTGCCTGCAGCAGATTCAGCCTAAAGTCGACTGGAGCCCAAGGATTGTTGTTTTCTTGGTAAGCTGGCCATGCACTGATAGATCTTTGTACAAAAAGTTAAATTATAAATCTTGTCAGTACATTCAATAATGCCATCAGAGACGTGATGAATGTCATTTAAAAGTCCTTCAAAATCTAAGTTTTGCTTTTAACATTTTTGAAATAGAATGGAATTTCTAATTTATTATCAGAATTCTTTTCGTTCAAAGAAACATTTTCCATTCTTCTTTTGATCCCCATTAACTATTAGAAATTTAAATGAATTTTCTAAAAACCACAATTTTTGAAGCACATTCTACTGGTGTAGCTTTAGGGTCAGTTTGTCGGTGGCCAATAAGATGTGGCAATGTATGGATGTGGAAGGTGAAAACTAACTAAACCTTTCCTGTGAAAAGGCATCAGATTCAATCATCACCACGTCATTTAGTGTGGGGGAGATGAGAAGCAGCAGCTTCAAGGCAATAGGTGACCTTGGCTGGACACTTTTCCCGTAGAAAAAAAAATATGTTGGTAGGAACAAGGTGGGTTTGGATAAGCGGCAAAATAGGGGGACTGTCCTGCAGCAAAAGAGACACTTGCCAAATCTCTAACTCTTAGAACAGGTCACTACAGAGAGTAAATGTAAAACTACACAGCAGCTGATGCGTGAAACCAGATTGGTTCCTCCAGCCTCAGCCTGGATATACAGAGATGTCAACCTACGGCCAATTTTTTTTGACACACTAATGCCGGGCGCCTCTGCAACACAAAGCTGACTGTGATTTTTTTTTTTTTTTTTTAGATATTTCCATGACAGCTTCATCAGCCAATTCCATATAAAATCCACCCTGAGGGACTAAGGTTTAGTTCCTTCATTGCATTGACCACCATCAAGACCAAAGGTCTTCATGGAGACAGACGTGTTCTCCACAAGTGTGAGATCATGTTGCAGGCCATACCAATGGTCTACTGCAGTCTACCAAGACATGAGCAATTTGCAATTTTTTCCATCAACATATTACTGACATTGAGTCCCCTCATATAGAGTTAAAACGTCACTATAATGGGCTCCCTTCTTCTTCCCCACCCTCCTTGTTTTATTTTTCTGCTCTGTCTACATTTTTCTGAGAGCAAAAAACGACCTAGAATCCAATTCCAGCATTTCAGCTAAAGCAGATGGAAAAATTAAAGTGACCAATTGATGAGAAGCTATGGGCAGCACCTCCAGGACACCAGTAGGTTGTTTCCTTAACTCCCAGTTTCACTAGTAATAGTTTTATATTGGTTTCCAGGTATAGCACCTTCATAGATAAGTACAGGTTGCTAGGTAGATTTAGTTGGCTCCTCTGTAATCGGTGGAGCCAGGGTTGATTGTTTAGGCCTGCTCAGAGTCTCACAGGCTGCTGTTATTATTATTATACAGGATTTATATAGCGCCAACAGTTTGCTCAGTGCTTTACAATAGAACGGAAGACAATACAGTTCAATACAAGAGGGAAAGGAGGGCCCTTCTCCTTGGAGCTTACAATCTAGGAGGTGCTGTTCTGATTACTTCTCCCTGGATTCTGAGCAGGGGCAGACTGACCATTTGGAAACTCGGGCACTGCCAGATGGCCCGTGGTCAGTAGGGGGCCCCATGAGATGCCCCTGGTACCTTTTTCATAGGCTTTTTTGAGTTTGGGCAAGGACACAGGGGCCCCATGATCCCCTATTGCCCGGGGGCCCCATGAGTTGTCAGTCCGCCCCTGATTCTGAGTATTCTAGAATTATAGTTCAAGGAAGAACACAGTAAGCAGCCTGAAGATTTATGGGAGCTCAGCCAATCCCTGGGGATGTGTGCCCAGTAGGTGGCTGGAGAGCCCAGAAATAGTCTAAGGCCTGAGGCAGAAGGTGAGAGTTCCTTTGTTTAGTTCTGCTGGGGGTCCTTGGGGCAGGATTATTGGAGGTGCCATCTAGAATGCATCAAGGTCCTCAGCTGGGGGGCCTGTTTACAAAGCCTAGTCCTGGAGTCTTGGAGAAGCTCACTGGTAGAGCTAGGAAGAAAGTGGTGGGGAAAGAGTCCAGCTGTGCTATGGTGGGGTGAGTCTACATCTCCCTCACTGAAAGTGCCCGTCAGATATCGGAAGGAAGGAAGGAAAGATGATCTTGTAGCCATGTGAGTAGATGACCTCAGTGCTGGAGGTGTGTGACTGTGTATAGTTTATTGGCCTTTTGGGAAAATTCCTAGTCACCTGTCAGCATTAGAGATACTGTGGGACATTCTATGCAGCTCAGCAAGATAGAGAAGGAGTCCTCAAAGTGTTCACCAGTTTTTGAGGTATCCCATGCTTCCTTCACCTCACCCCATGTTTGCAATAAAACCCTAAAACTGTTCCATTTGAGCCAGTGGAAGAGTGATGAGATTGCTGTGTGTGCTCTAGCTGGGGGAACGAGTCAGTTCACCAGTGGCTCCTCCTGGGTTGCACTACACAAGCATTGGGGAACTGTCTGGGTTGCTAAAAATAACCAATCAGATCCTCTTCAAGATGGAGATGCTCTTGTTTTCAGTTGGACGCCTTACGAGACATGTTGATGATTAAACCTGTAGAGCTTTCCCTTCTATTGTTCTCAACCTAACCTCAGAACTTCCACAAATTGGGCCCTCACAATGTACACAGGGTGGCCTAAAGGTTTGTTTTCCTCAGTTCAGGGGAACAGGTACTCTCTCCATTCACTCCTGTTTATTTGCCCGAGGCACGGTGACTTGACATGGAGTTAATCCCACTTCAAAGGCCCGTGACATCATAACACATTCCTGGAGGATGCTGTGACTTCCATTAGCTAGACAAACAACAACTCCTAGCAATCTCTCATACTTGGCATACATGCATGTGTGATAAATGGCATTTTTTATGAACTTGTTAAACATTTTTGTCCTCAAAGTGCACGCGCCATAAGATGCCCCCCCCTCCTTGAGCACCACTTCGCTACACTAATGTTCAGCATGGCTTGAGGATTCAAGTGGAAAAGATAAATGTGAAAAAAAGTGTGAAGCCACCCACCATGGAAAATCTCATTCTAATATGACCTTAAAAATGACTGAAGGGTTTGTGTAGATATTGTCAAATCCCGTCTTTTTTGCATTTCAATGCTGTGTTGCACAAATGCACGTTTGAACTTGCAACACAGCAGACGGCCGCATTTGGCCTTTGCCTCCAGTACAAACGCATCTCAATGGAAGCCTGCTGCATCCCGACAAATGCAGGGAAATCTGGCCACATGCACCCTCAGGACTGTCGGACACACTACTACACCATTGAATCAAAGCGAATCTGCTGGCCTACGTTTGTCATCGATTTGAAACATTGGAAAATGTCTGTTTTCATTAGCTCCAACAATGAACTGCAATATAATACAAACTAATATTCCATAAAAATCATAATAAAGGGTAATGACAATAATAATCCTGAAAAAGAATCTTCCAAAATTCTATCCCCTCGCTCTACCTCTCCTCCGGTCCTCTACATGAATAGTGAGCTTTTTTTTTTCCTATATTATTTTTTTTTTTTTTATTAAAGTCCAGCGCCGTCCATCCATACGTCATTTGCGTATTCGAATTACATGCTCTCAAAAAAGTAAATAGCGTAAGTGTAGATTCTGAAGAAAGAAGTGAAGGGAAAAGTATGACAAGGTATGTTCTGGAGAAGTAGTGAAGGAAAAAGTATAAAGAGGAAGATTCTAAAGAGGAAGTAAAAGGAAAAGTATGACAATGTAAATTCTGGAGAGAAATTAAAGGGAAATGATGATGATGTAGATTTCTGGAGAGAAAGGTAATTCTGGAGAGAAATTAAAGGGAAAAGTATGATGATGTAGATTTCTAAAGAGGAAGTAAAAGGAAAAGTATGACAGGTAGATTCTGGAGAGGAACTAAAGGAAAAGTATGACGAGGTAGATTCTGATAGGGAAGGAAAATGAGGGAAACGTATGACGAGAAAGTAGATTCTGGAGAGAAAGTAAAGGGAAAAGTATGATGAGGTAGATTCTGATGAGGAACTAAAAGGAAAAGTATGATGAGGTAGATTCTGGAGAGGTAGTAAAAGGAAAAGTATGATTCTGGAGAGAAATTAAAAGGAAAAGTGATGAGTAGTCTAAAGAGAAAGTAAAAGGAAAAGTATGATGAGGTAGATTCTGGAGAGAGTAAAAGGAAAAGTAAAGGAAAAGTATGAAAAGTATGTGAGGTAGATTCTGGAGAGGCAAAGTATGATTAGAAAGGGAAAAGTATGATGAGGTAGATTCTGGAGAAGAGTAAAAGGAAAAGTATCAAGGTAAAGAGAGGAAGTAAAAGGAAAATAATAGAGTAGATTCTAGAGAGGAACTAAAGGGAAAAGTATGACGAGGTAGATTCTGGAGAGGAAGTAAAAGGAAAAGTATGATGAGGTAGATTCTGAAGAAGAAATAAAAGGAAAAGTATGACTAGGTAAATTCTGGAGAGGAAATAAAAGGAAAT